GAATGAGCAGATTGGAGACTCCTTCATCATAAAGAAATTCGAAGGGTTGAGCCCTTTTGATTCGCTGAGCGCCTGGGAGACTCCTTCATCCTTAAGTATTCCAAAAGGATGAGCCCTTTAATCCGTTGAGCGCCTTAGAGGCCAAGATTGCTCCATCTTCAGTGGCCAAATCGCTCAGCCCTTTTGAGGCACTAAGCCCTTTTTCCTCTACTCCACTTAGGTTGCTTGTGGCCTTAAAAGTGTTCAGCCCTTTAAAAGGGATAAGTCGTTTGCTTCTAGGAACTTCTTCTTGTTCCAATCTCCAAAATCTACAAAACAAAGGGAAATTTTGATCATAAGAATCATCACTCCATTCAATCAGTTCAATTAAAGGCCCTTTTTTTATTCCATTTGTATTTGCCATAATTTTATCATTATATTTTAAAAAAAAAATTGTGCTAGATAAGTGCCATAACTCAATATTTTCATTAGACAAATTTGACACTTATCAATTCTGCGTTTTGAGTTAGAGTGAGGTGTTTTTCACTATGTTTTCTGTATTTTTTTGTATATTTGTTGTTGTAGGTGAGACACATTATGAGATCGATGACATTGGAGATGAGACTTAGACCTTGTCTTGGATTCATGCTCTCATAAAATGTAATATTAAAATTTAGTTAGGATTTGATTTCTGATATATGTTCATGTTTAAGATAACTATTACACTAGTACAAAAGACCCTTTTTACGTCGGTTATTTAGGGGTTTTTACGTCAGGGAAACGTCCGACGTAGAAGCGGGAGACGTAAAATTTACGTCGGGGGTCAAAAACCGACGTAAATTTACGTCGGACATACCCAGGTCCGACGTAAAAAATCGTAAAAATTTAAAAAAAAAAGAAAAATAATGCAGCAGAACGGCCCGTTCTGCTTGGAGAACGGCCCGTTCTCCTTGCAGGACGGGGCATTCTGTTTGGAGAACGGCCCATACTGCTTGGAGAACGGGCCGTTCTCCTTGCAGAACGGCCCGTTCTGCTTCCCAGAAATCGCTTTTCTTCTGCGTTTTCCTCCCAGAAATCGCTTTTCTTCCCAGAATCGCTTCTCTTCTCTGTTCTCCTCAGGCTTGGCTTCAGCCACTGGTTGTTCCTACTCAAAATATATAAAGAAACACACATAATAAGTTCAAAATACACATTTAGTCGTATGAACGCAAACTGCTTGTTTTTGTCGTATGAACGGAGACTGAATGATAGAAAAATTATAAGGAAGGAAGGACCGAAGGAGTAGGAGGCGGAGGGATTTACACAACGAAGAGGAAGAGGGTTTACAGAGAAAAAAATGAAAAGTGAATGCGCGCGGTGTGCCTCGCGCTCTCTTATTCAAATTTGCGTCTTTTTTACGTCGGACCTGGTAGGGTGCGACGTAAATTGGACTTTTTACGTCGCACCTGGGAAGGTGCGACGTAGATTGGACTTTTTACGTCGGACCTTACCAGGTGCGACGTAAAAAAGTTCGCAAAAATTACAAAAATGCCACCGCATTTTTTTTACGTCGGATTTTCGTATTTCCGACGTAAAAGGGGTGACGTAATATACTTATTTTCTACTAGTGTTAGTTTCTATTAATGTTATTTTTAATAAACACTTATATTGACTTTATGTTTTCAATTAACATATTATGTAATATCCTCTAACTGAACTTACGTTATTTATATGGTTATGAACTCTTTTCTATTTAATTTTAAATATTATACTTATGAAATAAAGGGTATCACAAACCATAGACTAAAGAAATACGACTGTTTTGTGGTGTTCATACACGTAGTCTTTTTACATGTGATAATGTGGGCTCATGGGCAAACCAAAGTTTACATCATAAAGATTACCCCCTCCTAGTTGCAATTATTTGGTGACTTGACAATGGAGAAATAACTTTGTCTTTCATTTTGTTTGTGTTAAGCCCAAAACCAACTAATACAAGAGCTGAATGGGTAGCTCCGAATCACCCCTTAATAAAGTTAAACGTTGATAGGAGCTTTGTCCCTAACTCAGGTGGTGTTTTGCTACCTCTATGGACCACTTTCTCGTAGCTTTCTTTTCCGTCTTTTTGATTCATTATGTTACCAAAAAAAAATCCTTTTCCTGTTAAACAAAATTCTTATAAATATTATATAAAAAAAAAAAAAAAAGTTCTTGAAATGCTCTCTTGTTAACAAAACTTTATAATAAACTAAACACTCTTATATATTCATATAAAATAGCCATTCTCATTTATATATTTACTTATAGAGTGATTATAATTTAGAATACTAAAATATTTCTAAAATTAGAAGTTGCGTCATTTACTCTTTTAATGTATTTAAACGAAGACGAGCGGAGTGGTATCTTTAATATTTGTGACACCAAATAATAATTACAATATAACATGATCCACGGTAGTTTGGTTACAATATAATAGAATCTTTTCATTTTATTCTTTTTTCATTTTGAAATCTAAACAGGGATTTAAAGGCTACTAAAAAATGAGATCGTGTCACCGATGTGATTATTAGTTATTTATCACATATATACTATAATATATTAATATTCTTTCTGTACGAAGCAAAAATATTGTTTTTCTACAATGAGATTTTTAAGAGATATATTTGGAGATATAAATTCATCTTATTATCAAATAATCATGGCAGCAGACAATTAATATTATTTTGTATATATCCAAGCTTTGGTTCTTTAGAGATTTTATATACAGAGAGGCAGATTTCGTGATTTCTTATAAGTTCATATTCTAGCACAGATAGTATCTCAGTTTTTTTATTCCGGATTTTTAGAGATTTTATATTTGGAGAGGTAGATTTCGTAATTTATTATACCTTCACATTCTAGCACACAGATAATAAGTTAGTTTTTTATTCTGGATTTTTCTAGGATTGTGTTCTGTACTTCAAGCAACCTGTCACTTGTTAAATGATTTTTGAGGGTTTACAAATTGATGCAATATATTATCTATTAAGTTTTAATCACACCTTGTTTAATATTTTTAGGCTACACGTGTTTATTTTAAATATAAAAAAATATATTAAAATACTAAATTGTTTATTAATTTATATGTTTATTATTACTTTTTTATCACGGATGATATTTATTGTCATGTATTTCTTTTATTATGATAAACAATATTAACAGTTTTATTTTTAGTATATGGTTTAAAATAAAATATTTGAAATATAATTATACTCAGTTTATCAAACATTTTATTCAAAATTACTTAATTTTAAAAATTAAACACGTAAAATTATATAATTAAAAAAACTAAAATTGCAAATTAAATATTATAAGAAATCAAAATTACAATTAATCCAAAAAAAAATCACTTTCCACATCAATATCATATCAGAATTTATATATGTCGGATAACAATTAACTAATAATACTCAATGGATTATAAAAGAAAACTAATAGATTAAAATCTCTTAATTGTAAACATTATATGAGTTTAAATCACTTGGTTAATAAAACCAAAATGTAAATTGAAAATTATAATTAAAAAAATAAAAATAATTAAGAAAAAGAAGAGTAATCTAAATTCAATTATTTAAATATATATTTTGTATGTGTAAAAGGGCAATGATTAATGGGAGGTTTAAAAGTGTAAATGATAGGATTTTGGCTGGCAAACTAAGTCAAGGTTGTCAATAATCTACATTTAAGTGAAAAGATGGAACCTTTACCTTCACTCATGTTACAAGCAGAGCACACATCGTAGTTTGTACACATGCTAGGAATACAAGAAGCCAACGTACACTTCAAGGTTAACTCATAATAATATGCTTGGACCTTTTGAGGAAAATGTATTATTGCATATATATGCAGCATATCTATGACCTTGTATGGAGTGTCTCTTATAGTTTACCTGAAAAAGTATATAATTGTATTCAAAAATTATTATTATCATTATTTCTTTTTAATATATGTTTATGATTGTTATACATAAAACATAATAGATTTTCTTATTTTTCGTATAATAATTTTAATATTTTTTTATTGTACTCTATTTCATATTATTTGTTCCTTAATGAATACATATTAATTATTAATGTATAAATTAATTATAAGTTAGATAAAATATGAAGATATAATTGATAAAAAAAAATATAATTAATATAACCTTAAATTTTAAAAATGACAGATAAATAAAAATAAAGTTTTACTTCTCTCTATATATAATTTAATTATTTATTTATGATATTTCAGCGTTAGCTTTTCCAAAGGAAATGATACTTCACCCCTTGTGTTTATATAAATCATATTGGATAAGAAATTTAAATGAGGAACTTAATTTAAATAATTGAAAAATTAGATGTACTAACTATGAAAAATTGTAAATAAAAATATGAAAACACTAAAATTAAAATATATGAAAAACTTAATATAGTGAATTAGTTATCATGTACTTAAAAGTTGTGAAGACAATATGTATAACAAAGGAATTTTGTGTTTGATCTCATCATGTGTGTGAAAATTTTTTAAGCCAATAATAATCTAATTTTGTGAAAAAAAATACTAAAATTGTCTCTAGCCTAATATTTAGGATAGTCATAACAAAACTAAAAAAGTAATTGTTAGAACTCGTATTCACATATGGTAAAAACAATCTATTTAATAAGAAATATTGTGTTTAATCTCTGTCATAAATAAAAATTCTTTAGATTAATGATAATCATAATACCACAAGTAAGATTAGTCTATCATCTAATAGGCTAAAAATACCGATGACAAAAAGAAATTAAAATATGTGAAATTAATTGCAATTAATATATTTAACAAATGCAATTAGTTATAGATTTCTTCTTTCAGATGTATACATATATATATGTCTTGCTTCACACGTTCTTGCACTTAATAAATCTATTTAATAAATGTTGAATTTCACCTGTAAGCAGGAGTACTCTTGTTTCACACGTTCTTGCACTTAATTTAATCATGCTTTGATTCTCTATAATAACACCACAGCTTTTAGACAATAATTCAAAGAAGCCCGACCCTCCATCCATTAGCCTACCCTCTTTGATATACATAATAATCAAACGTCACACAGTGATAATGATGATGAATTTCCTTCATCATCCACAAATTCATGAATGTAATGCCACTTACTATGAATCCCCCGATAATAGTAGTAGTCCTACTCCTATGATCATGCAGTCCAACATGGAGTTTGTTGCAACAATTGAGGAGGATGCCACCATCAAGTCCAAAGAAAGAGAGAAGGGCATGGTCCTGACATGGGAGGATTTGAAGGTCACAGTTCCAAATGGAAGGAATGGTAGGAAACCAATTCTTAAGGGTCTTACAGGTTATGCCAAGCCAGGGCAGCTCTTGGCAATAATGGGTCCTTCTGGCTGTGGCAAGTCCACACTTCTTGATGCTTTAGCAGGTAAATGTATATTCGACTTCTTTCTTCTTCTTTTTTTTTTTTTTTTTTTTTTTTTTTTTTTTTTTTTTTTTATTTTTTTTTTTTATTTTTATAGAATTGGAATGTTGTATCTTTACATTCGTAATGTTGAAATATTTATAAAATTCATGGATATAGAATGACTTACTCCCATTTCTTTCAAGTTTATTCCTCATTTTCATAATGAAAAGGTATTAAGGTAAAATAAAATGAAAAAGTTATGCTTTTGTAGAATAATTTATGTAAGTTTTTTTTTTTTTTTGTGTTTATCTCTTCTTCACATTATTTTATTATTTTTTTAATGATAGAGAGATAAATATAAAATATATATATTGTACAAATTATATAAATTGTTTAAGTGTATTGTTATATTCAAATAAAATAGAATAGAGATGGAGGAGAAAAAAAATATAAAGCTAAAATAAATGTAAAAGTAAAAGTAAAATAAATGAAAGGTGTGGAAAAAATCACTACACAAAATTTATCTTACCAAAGATCAGATGGGCCCGCCGGACGTTATATTAGTAAAAAAATTTATTAAAAAAAAACTTTAGGAATTTTATTGGATTGCTACTAATTTATCTTCATTTGACATGTAAAATCAGGATTAAAAAACATTACCAAAAGAGAGAGTCTCTTTTAGCAATTCCCAATAACTTTAGATGTTTTACGAATTGGACGAAGTAACCCAATTTCTCGATAACTATTCAAGTTTTAATCGTAAGAGAAAAATTAATATATAGCAAAGTTAAATTTATGTGTATTGAATTTCAATAGTTGTATTGGTATCATTTACTTGTTTTAAGGAGTACCAAGTTGTTAATATCAGTTATGTAACAGAATCTAAAAAAAGTCTTTTTAAAGCTTAAAAAGTAATTAAAGTTTATATACTTCTATCAAATTCAAATCTTGGGGGCTAGCTATCTCACTTTTTGAGATACTTCTAACGTAACGAGAAGATTAGTCATTGTTATCAGCGATGAATATTCTAGAAATGAACTAAAAAAAATATTTGAAATTCTTACTCTTTGCATCTTCTTAATTAGACATTCTCAACATTTTTTTTCTTTTTACGGTACATTTTGCACACTACTCTTCCTCTTACTCAAAAAATATTTCTCTTGAGCTTATCAAACTATCCCATTATATCATAATTTAAAGTAATAATTCTAAATCCAAAATATAATTATGTTTTAATTAAAAACGTGTATTTATCACTAATTTCAATTATAGTATAATTTATATTTAAAAATATTTATTTATTATAAATTTTAATTATATAAAAATAAATATTGATTTCTCAATGACCAATATTTTAATAATTTGAAACCATAAGAAGTAATATCATAAGCAAATAATATATAGAGGAGGGTTCAAACGACACTGGTATAACTTTTACTAAGTGTTACACCACTTAATAACTTTATATTATATTAAATGTGAATTTTGAAAATTCAACCGTTAGATTGAAAGTTCATATCTATTAGATCATATATGTCAAATTTTGTTAAAATTGAACAACAACTTGAAAGTAATCAAAGTATTCATATTTTAGTATATTTTGAAATGTATATATTACGTTAATTTTATTTTATGAGAATGAAGTATCAAATCATCTTATATTAATATAAAATTTGATATATACGATCTAAGAGATATGAACTTTCAATCTAACAGTTAAATTTTCAAAATTCACATCTAATATAAAGTTATTGAGTGGTGTAACACTTAGTAAAAGTTACACTAGTGTCGTTTGAACCCTCCTCTAATATATATATATAGGGACTGATAGTTTAATGGTGTGGACTAAAATTTAGATATATATATTGAGACGGCTATTAAAAAAATGTGGACTAACTGTTTAGTTTAATCTTTTTGAAATTTTCTGCAGGAAGGCTAGGTTCAAGCACAAAGCAAACAGGAAAAATTCTAATCAATGGTCACAGACATACACTGGCGTATGGAACATCTGTAAGTGAAAAAAGAAAATCTTGAAAAACTTTTGAGTTTCTGTAATACTTATAGAATAAGTAGAAAAAATATTTTTTTAAAAAACTAAAATTAACTTGTACTAATTTTTTTATGGAAAAGTTCTTTTGTATAAGTATTTTTAAAAACTAATTTTTAACTTAGAAAAGTTAATATACTTTAGCGTATAGAAAAAATTATTTCATTTTATTTTTTATTTTCATAAATATGCTTAAGGAAGTTTATTCTCACATGCCAAAAATAAACAAAGAACATAAAGTATAGCCAGTATTGGTAGCCACCAACAGTCATTCATTTGAAGGAAATGATCTTAATTTTATATTTTGTAAATTTTTGTTACAAAAAGAAAATGAAATCTTAATAATCTCCTTCTCTTACCATGTGAAATCAGGCATATGTGACACATGATGATGCTATGTTGTCAACATTAACAGTTGGAGAAGCAGTGTACTACTCAGCTCATCTCCAATTTCCAGAGTCAATGTCCAACATAGAGAAGAAAGAGAGAACAGAGTTTACAATCAGACAAATGGGTCTACAAGATGCCACTGACACAAGGATTGAAGGGAAGGGTTCTAAAGGCCTTAGTGAGGGCCAAAAGAGGAGACTAGCCATTTGCATTGAGATTCTCACAAGCCCCAAACTTCTCCTTCTTGATGAACCAACTAGTGGCCTTGACAGTGCAGCTTCCTACTATGTCATGAGCAGAATTGCTAGCCTAAAGATTAGAGATGGCATCAAAAGGACAATTGTTGTGTCCATCCATCAGCCTAGTAGTGAAGTTTTTGAGCTTTTTGATAATCTTTGTCTTCTGTCTTCAGGTGAAACATTATATTTTGGCCCTACTTCTGCTGCAACTGAGGTTAGTAGCTATATAGCTAAAAACATTGTATATAAGCACACGTTGATTTGAAATGGCGACTTATAAAATCTACATTAAATTGAATGTAGTTCTTTGCTTCAAATGGCTTTCCTTGTCCACCTCGCCACAACCCTTCTGATCATTTCTTGAGGATCATAAACAAGGATTTTAAACAGGTGAGAACATAAAAATTTCAATGCTTTAGAGTTAGCCACAAAACCAATCAGATATCATTATTTGTACAATTTTTAAGATAAATACTATATATGATAGTTTATGATTGAATGACATTGTAAAATTCAATGCATAACTTATTGTTGATGTATCTTTATTATTTTTAGGATGATGAAGGATACTTCCACATAGCAGTACACAAAGAAGAAGCAGTTGACATCCTTGTGAACTTCTATAAATCTTCTGAAATTAGTAACCAAGTTCAGAAAGAAGTAACAGCAATAGGTGAAAGTGTAAGTATAGTATCACATTATTTCCTTGGTGAACTCAAGTCTACTAGATATCTAGAACAATGATTTCTCAAAATAGAAGACATCTTATTTATACAAACATGAAGGACTAACATTTTGATGAATTTAGGAATATGGTTTCATGGGGAGGAACAGAGCACAAACTGCATTTCTTACTCAGTGCTACATTCTTATGAGAAGATCTTCGTTACACCTGTTTCGGGATGTAAGCAATTATTGGTTACGTCTAGCTATGTTTGTTGTAGCAGCTATTAGTCTGGGCACTATTTTCTTTGACGTTGGTTCAAGTCATGCATCTATCCAGGTAAACTAAGCAGATAAATTATAAAGTGCTCAAAGAGTATGATATTTGAAGCATAACTCATAATTAAGAATAATTATCTTTATGTATGCATATATTTCAGGCTAGAGGGGCACTGGTCTCTTTTGTTGCCTCAGTTCTGACTTTTATAACCCTTCTTGGTGGATTCCCTCCTTTTGTGGAACAAATGAAGGTAAAATAGCTAATCAAAATGATTGATTCCATGCAGACACTCTTAGTTGACATACTTTCCTTAGGTTCCCAGTTTCATTATATAAATGTTGCACCTGTTTCAACATTGGACAGCATATCTCATTAAAATCATTATATTCCTAACTATTTTTATGTGATTGATTCAGGTATTTCAACGTGAGAGATTGAATGGACATTACGGTGTCACTGCTTTTGTGATTAGCCACACTTTATCCCCAATTCCATACATGGTACTTATGTCACTGATTCCTGGAGTGATCACATATTACCTTTCTGGTCTTCACACAGGACTTGAACGTTGCCTATACTTTTCTTCTGTGTTACTTGCATGTATCTTGTGGGTTGAGAGCCTCATGATGGTTGTTTCAAGCATCTTTCCCAATCCCAACACCGGCATCACTGTCTCTGGTGGAATTATGGGAATCATGATTCTAACAGGTGGATTCTTTCGCTTGCCAAATGATCTTCCAAAACCATTTTGGAAATACCCTATGTACTATGTTTCCTTCCACAAATATGCCTTCCAAGGATTGTTCAAGAATGAGTTCATTGGTTTGAAGTTGGCTAGTGATCCAGATGGAGGTACCTACATAAGTGATAGAGAAATACTAACAAATATATGGCAAGTGGAAATGGGTCACTCCAAATGGGTTGATCTTGCTATCTTGATCGGAATAATTGTTTTATATAGGCTTGTGTTCTTGGCCATCATTAAGATCAAGGAGAAGATGAAGACTTGAAGTTGAAGCCCAAGAGTTAGTTAATTGCACAAAACTTAGGAAAATCGGTATAACTTAGGGAATAAATCGGTCTAATTTACTGTAAATTAATTCATATGGCTTCGATCTTCACTACCAAATAGGCTCTATCATATATCTTAAAAAGAAAAATGTTAATTGTTAAGATTCATTCCTACACTCAATGATACTTCTTTTACTGTCGGTAAGAAATCATAAATTTTACTGATCGAGTAAGATTTTACTTAGACTTGAGCCTCGATTAAAAATATAGGGTGAGTTTTACATGTTTATTTGTCATTGACTTATTAAAGATCTGACCTGATTTATATAAAATTCTAACATAATTTATAAATTTATTTAAAAACTTATTTTGTAATAAGTTAATTTATTTATATGATATAAATATATTTTTTAAGTTTAATATGATATTCACAATGATGATTTATTTAAAAATAATTTGTAATGTGATCTCTAAATAAGACAGAAGCTTATATTTCAATAAATATATGACCTTCATTTTTATATAAGTTAACATGTTTAATATTTAAAGGATAAATAAATTCATGGTTTTAATACACAATAAAAAAATTGATATTATAATGATAATTATTTATTTATTTTTTATTTAAATAGGTTAGCTTAGTCGACACAAGAAACTTTTTTTTTAAATGGCCTGGTGCCTTGCCATTTTAACTAAATAAGTTTCAATAAAAGCTTTGACTTGTTTTTTAAAAGGTATGATCTATCGTGTGGCTTGGACTATAATTCTTTATATGGAACGTTTTTGTCTATTTTCACTCCAGTATTTAACTAAATCAAAAGAGATTTTTTTAAATAAAATATGTATAAGATCTATGCAAAAATTATAATTTTTAAAAAATTTAATCAACCAATTTCTATATATTAAACATAATTTTCTATCTTGCGTTAAAATGTTTTAAAGGATTTTTAATTCAGTGAGATGATTTTTAGGAATTTTTTAACTTTTTATCTAATTTAATTTTTATTTACATAATTATTTATGAATTAAATTTTAATATTTTTAAAATAGTTATTAATAAATAAAAATAGTGTGTTAAAATATAAATTATTTTTATAAATTTAAAATATAATTTATATATTTAAAAATTATATATCTGTACAAAATTAAAATATAATTTATTATAAATTTGAATTATGTAAAATAAATATCATAATATTTATTTATATATATAATTTATTATAAATTTTAGTTACATATAATAAATATTTATTCTATGCACAAACTAAAATACTAGAAAAAAATATATATAATAAGTATTTCACTAAATCAAAAGAGAAATTTTAAATAAAATATAAGATCTAAAAAAATATGATTTCTAAAAAAATTCAATAAATAATAAAAAAAAATTTAAAAAAAATTTAAAAAAAAAATATCAGCAGCAATACATGGGCACCATCCCCAAGGAACCTCCCAGGTCTTAAATAAAATGACAAAAGTCTATGAAATGAATTTGGAAGCAAATGTGGGGACATGTATGTGAACTGTGAAGTGCAGATTATTTATAGCTTGACCATAGTAACTGATTAGTGATGCATGCTAATAGTTATACACAAACATAAATCACATTCTTGGGTACATGCAAGGTCAAATTTTCATTTATTGTTTACTATCTTTGTCAAACCAAGGAGTGGTCTCTTAGATATTGTTAAATTACGTATTCAAACAAAGAACATAATCTTGAAGCAATGGTTTAAGTAAATATAATTATTATTATTATTATTATTTTTCTCTTCTCTCGTATTCCTCTCCTAGTCATTTGAACGTATGGGAAATGTACACAACACATCTTCTAACACCTAGTTGAAATTTATTACAATATCACAAATTGTCACATTTGTGTTCTACGTGTGATACAATAACCCAATAGGCTTACAAGCCCACTCTTCTTATTTCATTCCTATGATGGGCTTTAATGACAGTTATGACGTTACAAGGCTTATAGATGCATATCTACACTTTCAATTTTGGGCTCTCTTATTTTTGTTCTGTGGTATTTGTGTCCATTTCAGATCAAGTTGTTGGAATTCTGATGTAGGAATTTTGGTTATTAATATTTCGGCCTGTGCCAATGTTTTTCTTTTTAGTTGTTTATTCTTATTATTAGAGTAAATGATAAGATGAGAGAAGCTAAAAATATTAAAAGTAATAAGATGAGAGAGTGTGTGTAATTGTGTGAGTAGTGAAAAAATTTAATTTGATTACATGGGATATGGACAGTTATATAGTTAGAGAAATTAAGTGAAAAGTGAGATAAAATTAAGTGAGATACAAAAAGAAAACAAAAAAAAATAGAATAATTATTATATTAAGAGTATATTTTTCCAACCAAATGTGAAAAAAAGTAGATATTATAAGAGGTATTTTCTTTATATAATGGTATAAATTATTATTATTATTATTATTATTATTATTATTATATAATTCAATTTATTTTAAAGTTATGCAGATATTCAAATATCATGTTATAACGTTTCTTTCCTTTATGTCAAAAAAAAAATAATGTTTCATTCCTAAATCAATTCAAAAATAATAAAAATCATAAAGTGATACTAAAATTTTATTAAAAAAAATCGTTAAACCACATATGTACAATCAAGTTTTTTTTCCTAATTAAAATCAAATATATTTTAAGTAATTAATTTAACTAGGAGAATTTCTTATGAAAATAATTAATTTTTCTGAGCAGAAAATAAATTAAATTAACTAAACTACTTAAGTTTCATTAAAATAATTTATTTCATTTTAATCAAAAGTTTAATGAATATTTCTTTGGATTAATATAATTTATTATCACATTAATATTTTTTTCCAGCAAATAGATTTAATAATAATCATTTCGGATTTTCTTATTATTCGTTATTTCAAATATTTGGTGTTGATAAATGAACGGGACATGATAATATGATAATCTTTAACTAGTAATAGTCATTTTTTACAATATCTATTTCCTGTTTAGTCATTGCGAAAATCTTGAGTTTTGAGAATCTTCAGTTTTTAATTTTTTTAAAAAAAAAAAAAAAAAAAAAAAAAATCAACAACTTTCCTTTTTATTTCATGAAAAAAAAAAAAAACACACATCAATACACAATCGTATTTTGAAAAATAATTATATATATCTGATAATCCTCACTTAAAAAAAAACTAAAATCCACAGCATTCTTTGTTATTTTATATATTAAAAAAACAATTAAAATACATCAACAAGCAAGTATATTTTACAAAACAAAAAAAAAAAAAAACAAAACAAAACGCAACTTCTAGTTTTCCATGTAAATGTAAGGGATCGCTCTTGTTAATGCAAAACAATATTTTCATATACTATATTTTATTTTTAAAACTCGGTAATAAATTAAAATATAAAAAAATTATTTAATTTGTTTTGAGGGATAAAAATAAATATTTTTAAAATTATCATAATTTTGTATATTTAATTCAATATAATCAGCATTCAAAAATTATATGAAATTTGCCAACTTGAACCCAATTTTATCAGAAAGAATACCAAAATTTAGAAAGGAAAAAATAAAAGTAAAAAAGGTATATAAAAATGATAATAATAATAATAATAATAATATTATGTTTATGAACAATAAAAATTATTGTTAAAAAATAATAATGAGTAAAAATAGATAATAACTAATAATCTTGTTTTCTTTAAAAAGATGAAATAAACATTTAAAATTTATCTAAATTTTTTACATTTAATCGAAAGTGATCATATTTAGGATGAACATCATAAAATACTAGCACATTCTCTATATACATAATCCACTCTCAAACTTAAAATTTGGTTTTCAAATACTCTTTTTCATTAGTAATTCTCCTTATCTTTCTTATGAGACTACATCCATAAAAAAATAATTTTGTTTAAGTTAGATATAATTATTATGTCCAACAATTTTTTTCTCTCTAGGTATTTAATAAAGTTGAACCCAAAGCACCGGCTAATAATTGATTCACAGTTTTGATTGTCTTAATTGATGTTTGCAGTATTTATATTATTTTATTAGTTTATATACAGCTATGTGATGCTTTCAACTGAGATCTTATTGAAGCCTGCGTTGATTTTATTCTGGACTCTCTTCTTCTACGGATACTTCCCAACAAAATGTCTACCTTTTTCTTTTTTCTAAGACACTGTGTGGCCCCATGACTCGTTTGCCCTCCTTTAAAGACTTTGATTTTAACCCACCAAATTAAAAGACTTTGATTCTAATCCTTAGAAACAAGAAGAAGCCAAATTAAAAGTCAAATGGGTCCTAATTAATTGATTTCAGTTTCAAACTCTCCACATCCACCTGTAATGTTCAAAATTCATTTTTGTTAAGGTTGCAAGCTGTTTCCGGGAAAGAACCCATTCTTGGTCTTCAGAATCACAAAGGCATTGATATCTTAGTAGTTTGAAAGATCACATGATTTTGATTAAATTAATACAAAACAAGAAGATTTTCAGTAACCATCAAAACAAACTGGCCTGGTGGTTTCTTACCCTAGAGGCAGGTGACAGAAAAACAGTGAGTGTGACCAAGTCAAATTAGCTGCTTCTTATGGAGACATAAGTTTTATTTAAAAGTTAATTAATATAAATATATTATGCAGATTGGACCGACTTGGGAGCAAGCAAGTGGATAAGTGATTAAGCTGTCATTTCACTACTTGCTTAATTAATTAAGCTTGACTCTATTTTCAATTACAGCTTCTTCTTGTTGATCAGCCATTCACCTTCATTTTCCTTTCAATTATGGCTACTAGGGTTTGTATATTGGTCCATTCAATCATCCATCTACTCATTGGATAAGACATACTTTTTTCCTCTCTTAAAAAGTTTCATCTTAATTTTTTTTAAAAATTAAACTAAAAAAATCGATAAATAAATAAAAGAGTGTAACAATTTTATAAAGTTAATCTTACTTTTTAAAAACAATCTTCTTTACCAAAAAACAATATAACAAAACAATATTCTAAACGGTACTACTATATATATAAAAATTAATGATATTAAATTAAAAAAGATAAAATAATATTTTAAAATTTATCTTTTCTTCTAACACTACACTTGTTATGAGATAGATAGCACCTAATTTTCTCCCATTTTAGTTATAAAAAATTGTGCAAGTATTCAATAAAAATGTTGATT